TACACCACACCAGTAGATCTGGAATAAAATGAAGAGTAAATATAGAAGATTTAAGGTGCTTAATTACTTTGCTAATTTGTACTGATCTTCCACAGAGTCACTGGGCAGACAAACTGCAGATATGAAGAAGGGGAAGCTGTAAAAAAAATGCGTTTACTTCTCACTGGACATCACATCACTGTCAGAAGAACTGGAGTACTGCGTGGAAAGGACCGTGCTTCCAACATGATCTGCAGTTTGTGACGACTGTGTCAGTGGCCTGGCATTAATATGGTGCTTTTCTAGCCTTACTGACTACTCAGAGCACTAGAATCCACGTTTCACCATAAGTTACACAGCAAATTCTCATTCACAATCTATTTGAACCTCTAACTCATGCAATCATAGGGCAAGAGGCAGGATACACTCTTTTTTTTTTTGTCATTATTAGTGTTGAATTAGGTGCGAGTGATGTAGCGTTAGTGCTGTCTTCTCTTCGTTCCAGTCTGCTGGAGTCTGAGTTTGGGAGGAAAACAACACAGGGACAATATGCAGAGTACACACATGTATTAATTAATAGTTACGTGGTAATTCTAAGTGTGGATCTGGGCGTGTGAATGGTTGAATCTCTGTGTTAGCCCTGTGATGACAACATATCCATGATGTTCCTGTCTTTCCCTTACCCAGTGATAGCAGGAACTCCAGCCTAACTTTTGTCTTGTTTCTGTCACTTTCTCTTAATTATTTAAAAAGCAGAATAAAATCTTCTGTTTTTATACATGACTGATAACTAATTCTTCCATTCTGTATGTATTATTGTAATATTATGCCTTATAATATAAAGCGCCTTGAGGCGACTATTGTTGTGATTTGGCGCTGTATAAATAAAACTGAGTTGAATAACTGTTTTGGGGGTATAATCTTGGTTATGGTTCCCTGAGCTATAAGTCTGGCCCATATTTTTTCTGTACACTACCACAGAGGATTTTAAATCAGCCATGATGTGACTGAAGTGCGAACTATTTGTATATGTATGAATATGTATATGTACACTGCAGGTGAAAACGTTTAGACCACTCCAATTTTTCCAGTTATTTATTGCAAAGGTCTGTCCTACAAAGAAACTGCAAAGAAAGTCAAGGTGTCAGTACAGTTTCCTTCACCATCAAAAGGCTCAGTAACAAACTCTGACAGGAAGAGGTCTGACAAACCCAAAGACACAACTGAATCAGAGGACAAGTTTCTGAGAGTTAACAGCTTGCATAATAGGCAGCTCACAGGACATCTTCAAGCACAAATTAATAGTCGTATTAATCAAGTCTCAGTTTCTTGCTTCTTCTTTTCCTGGTCAACCTCCATGAACTGATTTGGCTAATGTGCCTTGTTCCTTGGCCTGGAAGTCCCCCTGTTTTCTGTTTGATGTGTGTGTATATATGTATGTGTGTATATATATATATATATGTATATATAATGGAGGGTAAAGTGCCACTTTGATATTACACATGATTGTTATTCTCAAAATACTGATTTGGTTTTAACTCAAGACTGTACTGGAGCATTTTCGTGGCTGTACGTGAGTCTTTTGCGCCTGTCCCATCTTCACTCCTGGGCGGGAGGGGCTTGTACGGTGATCACTGGCTGAAAGGCACAGAAAATAAGGTTGAATATCATTACCTCTATGAGCCCTGTCTAAAGTTAGTAACAATGATTGTGTGGCCTATTCTTAATGGGATAACAAAAAAATATTAATTTACTGTGGAGGGCCTCAAGTGCCATGGTTAAATAATTATAATTGAAAATAAATCATTAATTAGATATATAAATAATTAATCAATAATATCATGCCAATTAATTTCATGTAAAAGATTTAATAATTTTTTTATTTAGTTCTTTTCAATTGTAATTAATTAATTACGCAATTAGTTATTCAATGGCTTATTTAATTAAGTCATATTGGCACTCCTGACCCTTCTGCTGTGTTCATGAATCAATTTTATCGTTCAACCTCACCCATCAAAGTCATGGCAAGATAATCGATTGCCATGAAGTGGATTTGGGGCAGGTATGCCAGAATGCATTGAAAACCACAAATGGCACAAGTGTAAGTAAAGTTTTGAAATACCTTGTTTGTGTATTTTGAAAGATTGTGAGCACGAATCTAACAGTTAACGGTTAACAAAGTTAACTAGCAGCAGGAACAACTGTCTTTGAAAACGTCAGAGCACTTTTGCAAAGAGGCTCTATCTCGACAAACTGACCAAATATTTGAAGATTATGCCACTACAATCTCAGCGAAAAAACTGTAGTTGGAGACACACAAACAGGGTATTTCAAAACTGTAAGTATAGTTTGGCTCCACACATGTCCAAATGCCTGTGTGTAGGCATTAACGAATATGACAATGTGACAGTGCACTGCGATTGCGATCATGAGCATCTACTCACTAGTTTAGCCGGTGGCCCACAACAGTTGACCACCTTACAGCAATAGGCAGCCAAAGTAACAGAGATGGCAAACAGAGTCGCCTGGATGAGTATACCTCCAGCACAAAAGTGGGCATTGATTTTCTGTAAATAGAACACAATACACACACATGACATATGGACATCTTTCATGTCATTCTTCAGCTCAACTTCCTTCATTAAATTGTGCATTTAGCATACTGTGAAGTGCCGTCAGATTACTCTTCCACCTATTTCAATTCAATTTTATTTATATTGTTTACATTTATTATAATTGTAGTTTTTCCATATTTATATAAATAAATAAAACTATATTGAATTATCTAGCACCATATCACAAGCCCGCTGCCCCAAGGTGCTTTATATTGTGAGATAGCCTCTGTCAGTGCGCCCCAGGGTGGCTGTGGCTACAATGTAACTAACTACTCTTTCAAGAATTTTCCCACATTAGAATAATGGAAGACAATAGATGGTTCTTAGTTTGACACTTCCCTTTCTTCCACTAATTTGAAAATAAAATGAATGTAGTTCAACTAAATATAATAACAATATTCTTATAAAGAAGGCATGTTACTCACCTCAATTTTATGGCAGATTTCACCGTAGTCCATCATGTAAGAGTGCCAGCAGTAATAGGGTGTGCTATCCTTAATCAGAGTGCAGACTAGATTGACGATGGAAGCGACACAAGCCACAATCTGCATCACCAAGCAGGCCCTTAGCTGAGAAAAACAGCTGATACAATTATTTGCTCGGAGACATGGATACATTGTGTAAGAAGATATTAAAAAAAACACTTTAAATTTCAATCCTGATATAAAAAGTCAGTTTCACTCCTCCCACTTGTTTCCAGCTAGTTGCTAACAAGGTGACTGCTGGTGTCTGTCTGCTGTATTATGAGAAGTACTGCTTCTACATCCTGGCCATATGTGCTATTGCATGTACTGGTCACTGCCAGTCCTGGCAGTAAAATGTCAGGGACAAGGTCACTTGACATGTGTAACAACTAGCTGCATTCAGCCTTACTCGGTGATTCTTAAAGGAAGTGAGACTGAGAGCTGTTCTGTTTCTGTGGCAGGGGACTTCAACAGTGGCATTAACTGATACGGTAAATATCTTCCCGTACTCTGTGGTTGCTGTTTTTAAGCTGTTATGTTGTATGTGCATGCTTGTGTGCACACTCACTGTCGGCAGATGAAGATTCTTTGCTGCTACAGCTATGCTCCCAGCTATTATCACCTGTACAGAGAACAAAACCACACACAAGAAGGCTGACATTAGGCCCAAGTCTGGAATTAACCAACTAACAGAATTAACAGGTAGTGCAACTTTTCTATGAACTGGTAGTTCGATCCCTGGCTACTCCAGTCTGTGTTCCAAAGCATCCTTGGGCATGATACCATGTACAGGTTGCTCTCAGTGGATTCAGTGCAGTGTGATTGTTAGCTAGAAAGCGCTCAGGCATGAAAGGAAGTGCTTGTATGAATGGGAAATGTTGTATAAAATGCTTTAAGTGCTCCAGTAGAGTAGAATTTGCACTCAATATTTTCATTCAGCATACTTTCTTGTATTTAGCTATCAATTGCTAGTACCGTAGTAGTTGGATGACTGCAATTAAACAGACTGGCGAAGGTAATTAAATAACTATAATCTAATTTATAACACAGACAACTTGCCAACATGTTGCAGTCACTCTGAGTCTACACTGATGGGTACTACACTTATTTACTACATCCCTTTGAAACAGAGAACTCTATATTTTGGGTTATCTTCTTATATAAAAGCAAGGTTGTTAAGTGCCGGTGTCATTTTGCAGATCAGTGATTGTCCTGCAGCAAAGATGTCACTATTTGAAAACATTTCATGTCTTTTATTCTAGCTGGACTTGGGATGCAAGTAGTTATGAAGAATGCAAGTTTTCTTGTCTTATATAGTTTCTCAGCTCATCTAATGCTGTGTGTGAAGTGTCTGCAAACTTACCAGGAGAGATGAGATGAAGAAAGGTATAACAGCGTACGTATTACCCCAGTTACTCAGAAACACAATGGTGCTGAGCATCGTGAAAACACTGAGGCTGATCTGAGTGATCTGAAGTAAAGTCAGGAAAAGGTGTCAGAAAATAAACCTAGAACAGTTGAATTTAATGATCTGGACAGATGAGTGAGAACTTTTGGCAATATAGCGTGTATATATGAACTAGTTGAAGTCGAAGACACACACACACACACACACACACACACACACACAGAGAGAGAGAGAGAGAAAATACCCCGAGAGCTTTGGGTTCAGCTTCCAGGTATTTCTCTTTCCTGTGGATGTGTTTCTGGAAGGTGAGTGTGACGAGAGGACTTTGAGCTGGGCTGATGGCTTCTTCCACAGCTGGTACTTCTTCTGAAAGCAGCAGTGAAAGCATCTCTGTTACTGCTGCACAGTTTTGACTCAGCTCAGTATCCAAACTGTGCTGCTAAACTTCACTGCAAATCACAGCGGTATTCATGTAAGTTTGGGTTTATATTAACATTATAACTGTGTTTACTCAGAGTCCAGAATCTCTGAGGGTGACAATAAAAGGCAGATTCCATCGTGGGGTTGTGCTGTACCGTAATAACAGTGCTGAGGGTATTTGTTGTTTCTCTGCTCACTAACAGCAGGCGTGTGTCGGCGCGCAGTCTATGTGCAGATTTAGCAGAAACAGCTGGATTGCAAACATGCCTCAGTATCAACACCGACATCTGGATTTTATCAGACGCACTGCTGCTCTCTCATTTCCCCTTAAACCAAAGCGGGGACATCGTAAATTTAGCACCGAGAAATAAGGTTGTTAAGTATTAAATAAAATCGCTCCTCTTGAGAATAAAGTCGAAATTCGCGATTAAAGCCAAAAATCTGCTTTGAGAAAAAAGTCGAAATGTGGAGATTACAGTTGTTTGGTTGTTTAGCTCCTTGACATGATCAGCAGAAGGGCGCTGAAAAGATAGCGCGGAAAAACTGCATCTGGTTAGAAGCAAAAACCCACAAAAACCTAGAAAAGCGGATTTGTACAAATGATGGTTACACCCGTGTTTGCACACGATGGGTCTTGTATCACAAGACGGCTGATCAGTTAGTTTCACGATGTTTTTGTGTGTGTAGAGGCTACAGTTACAACAACTAAGCTACAAATGTCGATAATAATGTCAAGAATATTTTTTCTAGTGTACCGCTTGTACACCATCGTTTAGATTTGAATTATTATATCGATATTTTACCTGCCATGATCACAAGATCCGCTGCAACTTCGTCCAGACAGCTCGCCAGTTCCCCTCGTTTATATGCTGACCTCGGGATTTTGTAGGGAAGTTCGACCCACCCGGGGTGTAGTGGCAAAAAGGGATTTCCTGTTTTTAAACTGTTGTAATTTTTTTTATGTGAAATATATGTCAAATGTATCCATCGTGAATGATATCAAGTCACCTTGAGCCACAAACAACATTCCTGTTACAAGTTAGAAGCCGCAGTCAGTTTTTTGGGGTGTTTTTTTTTGGCAGAGTTTAAATATCCTCTATGAATACGGTAAAAAAAAAAAAAATCTTGTTGACAT